GGGGATGTAGGGATTCGGGGATGTAGAAATTTGGGGGTGTAGAAATTTGGGGATGTAGGGATTTGGGGATCTAGAGATTCGGGGATGTAGAGATTTGGGGATGTAGAAATTTGGGGATGTAGAGATTCGGGGATGTAGAAATTTGGGGGTGCAGGGATTTGGGGATGTAGAGATTCGGGGATGTAGAAATTTGGGGGTGCAGGGATTTGGGGATATAGAGATTCGGGGATGTAGGGATTTGAAGATATAGAGATTTGGGGATGTAGAGATTCGGGGATGTAGAAATTTGGGGATGTAGAGATTTGGGGATGTAGAAATTTGGGGATGTAGGGATTTGGGAACGTAGGTATTTAGAGATGTAATCCCTGAATCATATAATTGAAACAAAATTAAGTAGTAGAATGCAATTTCTACAAACACAGTTCACATCAGACATATTTCTTCGGTTTCTTCAGTAAAAGCATATAATAATTTATTAACATATGCAGGGATTACCCGTATCGTCTGACTACAACAGTTTAGAGGGTCTTACGAGCACTCAGGAAAATTGGTACGAAATTAGCCGGAGTGGTATCAGGCTTGCATCACCAAAGCAAACTGCGATACTTTCGAAATATCGGAAACGATTTACAACGAATTATCTTCAATGAAAATTCCTGCAAGTACTGTTATCGCTAAATCGTTATCAGTCCCACGAAGTCCCCGACTGAATCATGCAGAAGAGCAACTTCTCTAAATAAAAACTGCATTCTGCTAATAAAAAATCCTGTTATCCGTAAAAAACTGTCAACATGCTTCTCCGCAAAAAGGAGTAAATTTGCAGCTGCAGATAAGTTGTAGATTTCATCGTCGAGAAAAATGTCAATGTATTCACGATCGAGAAAACGAATAAGGTTGTAGGAAGCGTTTCATTGTTGTTCACGTTGATGACTTAATTTCTGAAATTATCCGGCTTATAACGAGCGAATGATATGCATCGGTGCATAATGCTTGCATGGTATCGATGTAGAAAAGCTGTCGGCAATTAGTTTGGAATCACGATGTACCACTTAAGCGAGACGGATGAACAGCAACGAACCCATGTTCTCGATGCAACTCGCTGGACTCGTTGAGAGCGACATCGATCAGAACGGGCATCGGTAATAACAGTCGTTAGACGGATAGTGAAACTAATCAAAATGCGACAAGGGATACAGTTACGATAAGAGTTGATCGATTCAACCGATACTTCGTGATCGTCGATGCACTGTTCGATTATTCAGATATTGTATACATACTGCTAGTAATTTCTGCTTTTGGTATTCCGTCGACAATGAACGACGTTAACCTCTTGCCGACGAGTCTCAGTGACGCACTCACTGATCAAATGAGAGTCAGCTCAAATGTGAGAAAAGTTACTCAGATATGGGATCTTTAAATTGAAATTTGAGATTTTAAAATTTAACTATAATTTGTATAATTAAGGATCGCTGAATATGAAGTATTCAGAACATTTTAATTTTCTTTGTTTTAATGTCTGACGCATCTGGGAAATTATACGGTAAGGGGACTGTGTAGGAACCGTAGGGACTCTTTAGACTACGCTAGTGAGTAGTGCTAGTAGCGTTGATAGGTAGTCGAAGTTTTGAGTTTCTTTGTATGTACCAGTCGTTGCAAAGAGGTGGTAAGAAAAAAAGAAATAATTTTCTTTCTAAAATCCCTGAATACTTATATTTCCAAATATCTACAGCTCCAAATCTCTACATCTCCAAATCCGTATATCTCCAAATTCGTACATCTCCAAATCTCTACATCCCCAAGTCATTACATCTCCAAATACCTACGTTCCCAAATCCCTACATCCCCAAATTTCTACATCCCCGAATCTCTATACCCCAAATTTCTGCATCCCTGAATTTCTACATCCCCGAATCTCTATATCCTCAAATCCCTACATCCCCAAATTTCTACATCCCCGAATCTCTACACCCCCAAATTTCTGCATCCCCGAATCTCTATATCCTCAAATCCCTACATCCCCGAATCTCTATATTCCCAAATCCCTG